GCCCTTACCCTATCCCAATACCCACCTCCTCATTCATTTGCCCACTGGACTCACCAGACAAGATTCCCACGCAGGGACTTTTAACTCAGTCACTTTCTCAGTGAACACTTCCTTTAAAAGATCTTATATAAAACTGCAAATACTCCAAACTGTTCTGCCCTTCTACCTCCACTCCCTATGTTATTCTTCTCCTTAGCATTTACTAATATTTAACAAATGATACAGTTTACTTATTTACCTGTTTCTTGTCTATTTCCCCACACTGTAATGTGGGCTCTATGACAGCAGGGATTTTTTGTTTTTTGTTATTTATTGTTGTTTCCTCAATGCCTAAAACAGTGGTTGCCACACAGAAGAGCCTCCGTAACTATTTGTTGAATGAAGTATTAAGTAACCCATAATTACTGCATCAAAGATTAACGTTAAGTTTCCAGATAAAAAGCTGTTTCTTCCTCACCAGACAAGAATCATTTACCAGATTTAACTGGCTTATTTAGATAATGGAAGGAAAAAGGTTCAAACGCTATATTTCCATTTGAATTTATATCCTTAATAAGAATTACATGACACAATTATATTATTAACATGCTCTCCCTACCTAAATTTCTCCTTCAGCTTTACTCATATTCTAAGGTATAGTTAGATCTTACAAATCAGTCATAAATTAACATAATCACAGTTAACACTTCATCAGTCAGGAACCAGGAATTCAGCCAAAAAATAAAGCAAAACACAGAAACATCCTGAGTGATATAAGAAAAAGCAAAGAAAAATTGAATTCTGCACAGTGAGACCTCATCAGGCCCACAAGACTTCACTATTATTTGTTAAAACATGTCGAGTACGACTAGTCCTGTTGCCCCACAATCACTGATAAACACAAAGCTGAGGATATATAGACATCAAGGATCAAATATGTGTAGAGTCAGGCATGGCTCTGACACCCCTAATCAGCACCACCCTTCCATTATCTAAGAGCAGTTGACAGAGGAAAAAGAGGAAAAGACTTCTTCCAAGTCTTCAGGGAGAACACAGGGAAAGGAAGGAGGTCTTCACCCAAAACAGTGGCAGGAGCCTCCAACAGAAATCACCCACCAAGATGAGAAGGGCCTAGAAGACACTTGCATCCATTCTCCAGCTCCACGTCTGCTTATGCAGCAGACTGAATGACTGACCCTGCATGTCTACTTGAAAAGGGGGACAATGAGAACTGATGAGAAATGGCAGGGCTCGGAAAGAAGGCAGACTTAAGTGGTCTGTATGCCACCATTTGGCATCACAAGGAAGTGAGTTTCCAGTGGGTTGAAGGGTTGAATGGAAACCACAGAGTACCTGGACTGGAGTTGTTTTGCCATTATCAAAATATTTGGCTGCAGAGAGAAAAGATCTCCACCAGGACTCACGCCCATTCATGTAACCAGTGGGTAGACTGACAGGATGGGAGCGAGCAGATGGGTGTGTAGGTTGGAAAAGGTTTAGCTACAGAAAATTTCATATCCAGAAACTGTGCAGCAGGAGTCTCCCTGCAAGATCTCACCAAAATGCCAGCTTGGTTGCCTATCACTGGACTGCAGTGGCCTGCCACTGTTAATCAAGTGAGGACTTTAATAGCACCAGATAACAAACACGTCTTTTTCCACTTCTCTTCTTGACGAGTTAGTATCCAAGAAGATCCCTCAAGAGTGAAAGGAAAGAGGTATCCCAGGAACTTACCACAAGCCCTCCAGACCCCAAGTGCTTCAGGAAATAAGTGGCCTGACCATGCAGAAGGAAAAAACCTTTAAACTGAATATGAGATTGAAGGTTCAAACTGGAATAGACTGGAGTAGTTTTTTTGTTTTTTTGGGTTTTTTTTTTTGTTGTTGTTTGTTTTTGAGACAGGGTCTCACTCTCCTGTCACCCAGGCTGGAGTGCCGCAGCACAATCTCTGTTCACAGCAATGTCTGCCTCCCAGGCTCAAGGGATCCTCTCACAACAGTATCCCAACTAGCTGGGACTACAGGCACGTGCCACCACGCCCGGCTGATTTTTCTATTTTTTGTAGAGACAAGGTTTTGTCATGTTGACCAGGCTGGTCTCAAACTCCTGGGCTCAAGCCATCCTCCCACCTTTGCTCTCTGAAGTGCTGGAATTACAGGTGTGAGCCACTGAGCCAAGGCTAGAGCTTTTTGATAACTGTAAATGATAGAGAAAAGCTATCATTTACCCATGTTATGGAGGATAGGGGACAGCACGATGGGAGATAAAGAGCCTATAAAATATAGTTAAAGGCAGTGAATGGGGAAAAAGAAAACTCTTATGTTTGTTCTCAGTAAGCCTGTACTGCTGAATAACCTGATGACGTACACAACAGCATTTTTACCCTTAATAATGGGATGGAACACCTGACATGGAAGTTCTCATGAGGGATTTACTGTACTGGGTAAGATGCTACCTTAGAAGCCTTCTGAGATCACTTCCAATTCTAATGCCTGTGATTGTCTTTTTCTTCAAGTGGTTAAACTAAATCCTGAATCCAGAATCCAGAGTTCAATGGTCAAACCATAAAAGGCTAGGCTGCCTAAAGGGCTAAAACCAAATGGAGAATAAAGCTATCAGATCAACAAGTCTGATAAGAGTTCCATGTAGGAAACAATATTTTGCTCTAAAACTTATTTAATTAAAAAAATCCTAAATGACTAATTTTCTTTTATATTCAACAAAAATCCCAGTTCAAAGAAAGCTTATAAAAGCCTCCAAACCCCATCTTCCTGAATAAGATCAATTCAACTAATTAAAAGTTTTACTAAAATAAATAGCAAACATATGTTTGCTTAAGCATCTTCTAGGAATAGCAAACTCACATATCCCTCATTAGACAGTACCCACAAGGAAAAAAGTTACTTAGGGTCAAATGGTTAAATATTGCTCATTAAGTGGAAGAGAGTTCCACTGCTATAACAAATAACATGCTTTATGTTTACATAAAAACATCCCATATTTTTATGTTTCTAAAAATAATTAAGCATTATAGACAATCATCTAAAGCTTTCAAGTTTCTGCCTTTTCTGAAAGCCATCCTTTTGGATACCATGCTGATAAATTCTTAAATGCTGTGTATGTACTCACAAATGGTCAAAAAATCTAAAACCAAATCTTAATATTTATCTCCTACTGAAGTTATTTTATTGTATCACTGAAGATCTAAAAGAGGATATTTTTTATCTTGAAAATTAAATTCTAATATTACCAAAAATTGCTCCAGTATGAGAAAAAGTAATTACATGTATATTACCTCAGCTCAGTTGGAATCAAATAGGAAATACTTTAAGGCAGTTAGTACCATCAGACTGAAAATTTTCTAATAAAAGCAGTGTTACTATTGTTACAATTACTACACTATATTCAGAAAACTATCTTCCCCACTCTCAAATAAGTTATTGAAACAAGAATGACTACTTGACATCAAGCAATGTATCAATGTCAAAGTATGAGTTAAATTATGCTAATAAATTATTTCTTAGATTTCATCCTGAGTTACAAATTATCACACAATTAAAACAACTTTGGGATTTGCAGCATGACTAATAATAACAGTAAAGAACTTCCAGGCTTAAGTCAAAAAGCCACTTTTTAAAAATCTCCATTAAATGTTTTGGGAAAAAGTCCCCATAAAAATGTAAAATGTTTCCACCTCTCCCAGGTATCTTCCTAGGAGTCGTCAATATTGTTATTTCCCATAGGTTAGCAACCAGTACTTGACTATTGGCCACAATGACTTTTTAAAAGAAAAAAAATCCATCGCTATTCCTAACATCCTTAAACACTTCTAAAAAGGTCCTTCCTGCTTATGAACTCATGGCAGTTTCCTCACAATTGTATACTTATCCTGTTTCACTGTCTCTCCTAGTCTATGACAAACTCAAATTTACACACCAACTTTCCTATGTGGTTACACTGCTTAAAACTGGGAAGAAGAAAGATACAAATCTGCTACTTTCCCCCCTCCCAAAGCAACAATGAAAATACTCATTAAGATAAAGATTGGAAGGTCCACGTGCACGCGGTGTGTATGTACACACATATTTATATAATACATATATTTTCTTAATGTCACACAAGTTACCCACTGGTGGATAAATCCACAGCTATTTACCTTGATACAGGTATACGCTACAAGAGAAACCAGTGCAGGGTTAATGGCAATATAAAATAAATTAGCTACTTTATTAATTCAAATTCTGTCAAGCTTACATAATCTTGTTTAAATTTATCAGTACTCTAAAACGATTTTTTCAAAAAAAAATACTTAAACTAGCTCCACTGGAGGAAATATTTCTCTCGTCACAAGTGTGTCAACAAGAAAAATTAAGAGCGTGAAAAATAATAGACTTTTGGTCAGAATAAATCTTAAATTATTTTTAATATAACCGGTCTTCAAGTTCTTCAGATTGTGAAGAAAAACATAGTTTTACAAAACAATCATGTAACTCTTACCCAAACTTTGCTCTAAATGGTTTCAATGGCATCAAATTAACATAGAAAGTATGCTAGCTGAGTACTTGGGGAAATAAAGCAGATTGATCAGGAGTTCTAAGATAAAGACAATGGTGTAAACTTCACAGTGCGGTATTTGTTCCAGTCATTAAACACACAGGAAATAAGATTTTCTATTTAGAAAACTAATTCACAAGGAGCAATGACTTCATTAAGACAAAGAAAATCTTATTAGAACAGCCAACAATCAATTGTAAAATAAGAAAACAAGTATCGAAGAATTGGAAGGTGGAACAGACTAGGAAAACGCATAAACTGCCTGGATTATCTGTTCCTTGAACCTCTTCTTGCACTGCCCCCAAAGAGAGCGAAAGAGTTTCATTAGTTATACGCCCAGACCACGGTAGATGCTCTGCTCGGGGGCACAGCCAAAGGCAGTAAACACTGTAAGCAACAAGACCGCTTTCATTATGACAACACTTTCCCCTTTCCAGGAGGGTCAATAGAAAGCATCTGAAACAAACCACAAACCGCCCAGGACGGCCCCAAAGCTCTGCGGTTGGCAGCTGGCCTCGGCGTCGAAAGACCTGGGTCTGGTGGCCTCTCCGGTGCCACCTGCGTGACCTTGGGCAAGTCGCTTTCAACCCTGCCTCTGGCCACCTGCCCCGAAGGTGCGAAGGTAAATCGCTGACACCGCCCGACTTCAAGGCCCAAGGCGAGGCCGGCTTCGGCCTCAGCTAGTCCTGAACCCAAAACGCACCAGGAAAGGATGCCCGGCGCCGCACGCCCGGCGGGCACAGCCCTGGAGAGAGCCGTTCCGACCGGCACCGCCGGGAATCCCCGGGCAGCTGCGCGCACCGCGCCCCTAGCGGGACTTCTCGGGGGGCGGAGACGCCGAGGAGCTCGATGGCCCCGCGACCGCCGCCGGCCTCCCGCCCTCCCCGCCGAGGGCTGAGGTCGGAAAACAATCGCGGACCCGCGGGAAGAAGACGCCGGCCCCTCCCGCCGCCCCGATCCCGGGCAGGTGAGCGGGCCAGGCGGCCTCCAGGTGCAGCGGCGCGCGGGGCGGAGGTGCACGGAGGGGGCGCTGGCCCCGCACTCACCCGCGCCCCCGGCCCCTAGGCGGACGCCGCGCTTCCGAAGCCCCGCAGCCACTGCCGCCTCGCGCCCGGCCCCGGCCCCCACCCCCGCCCCAGCGCGGCCGCGTCGCTCACGCCAAACTTTACCGGGGCCTCGGCCCGGAGCACCCGCGCCGCCGCGGCCCCGGCTCCTACAGACGCTCGGCTGCCCGGAGCGGCGTCCACGACGGTCCGCCCGCGCACTGCGCACGCGTCTCCGCGCCGCCTCAGCCCCCAGACGGCGACTGAGATTCCGGAGCCAGCGCTCCCAGCTCGCAGAGACTACGAGTCCCGGCAGGCCCCGCGCAGGTCCGGGCGGCGTGGCGGGCCGGGTGTTGGGCGTCTTCCTAGTTCCAGGGGCGGAGGCCTTGGCGCGCCGGAGAGGGCTGCGCGAGGAGCTCTGGGCCGCCACGCCGCGGTGCTTCCTGGGAATCGTAGTTTTCGAGCACCACGGGGCTTGGCTCAGAGATGGAACTCCGGGTTCTCTGATGTCATCGCCTAGAACTGCGAGGCACAGGGATCTTTAAAAATAGGCTTCGTTAGTTTGCAGATAATTTGTTTGCAAGCTGTCCCATAATCGGTCCAAGTGGCACAAATTCACAGGCTGCGGTGTGACCTGGAGAAAAATGCTTTACAGCTCTGCGCGCCAATTTTTCGCTCTTAACCATTTCTCCCTCCCTGCAAATGTAGCTCCACCTCCTACTTACAGTCGTGTTAATAGTACATGAGGACAGGAGAAACTTAAAGAAGGATTAGTCGAAATTCTTTTAGCAAGGGTGGAGCATAAATATGTATCGTGGTAAATATTCGTTAAATATTGAGTATTTCTCTAGCACTTAGTTCCAACTACGTGATAAGCAACCAGGCATTCATCTGAGAGAGAGACACTGTCGCTGCCCTCATGGAGCCTGCAGCCTGCAAGGGAGGAACTTCCGCAAACAAGCAAAATCGTTACCGATTTTAATAGAATAGCCAGAATGAGAAAGTTCAAGAGACAGTAGCGGTGGGGGTGGGGGAGGCTCTTCAGAGAGGGTGACAAGGAAAGTTCTCTGAGGATGTGATATTTGAGCTGAAACCTGAAGAATGAGTAATATTCAGACATGCAAAGAACTGGGAAAGAATTATATGCCACGCCTTTCACAGTGCATGCCACTCTAGGCTCTTAACAAATATTTGTTCTTTTTGTGTGCTTCTTCCTTTCCTCTTAGGAACAGCACAACAGGTTGACAGCACAACCTTAGATTGACAGCACAACCTTAGGTCACATCCTATCCCCTTCAACACCTTTAAAAAATATTTAGTAACGTCTCTCAGAATATCCTTCCTATGTGAAGATGTACATGAAAACAAAACATGAAACAAATGTCCAGTGGTAAGACAAGCTGTACAGCTGCTAGGACAGACGACACAAGCCTGGTGACAGGCTGGAATCTGACTACTTAGTCATTTCTTTATTTGAGAACTGGGTTAGAAGCCTGGGCGCTCAGCCTGGCCTCCTGACTTGTTTTCTGTTCATGGGGCATCATGTAGGATTTTGAGTTTGTCTCTATTAAAATCTTACAGGGAGCGTCGGGCACGGTGGCTCAAGCCTGTAATCCCAGCACTTTGGGAGGCCAAGGCGGGTGCATCACGAGGTCAAGAGATCGAGACCATCCTGGTCAACATGGTGAAACCCCGTCTCTACTAAAAACACAAAACATTAGCTGAGCATGGTGGCGCGTGCCTGTAATCCCAGCTACTTGGGAGGTTGAGGCAGGAGAATTGCCTGAACCCAGGAGATGGAGGTTGCGTTGAGCCGATATCGCGCCATTGCACTCCAGCCTGGGTAATAAGAGTGAAACTCCGTCTCAAAAAAAAAAAAAAATCTTACAGGGAGCTTACCTATTGTCTGAATCAGAGGTGCAGTGAAGAACGGTGTTAGATTTTCCTGTATAGACTTACCTATGTGACTATGCAGAGAGTGACACTTTGCCATTCTGACCCTCAGTGACCTCAACTGTAAATGAGTGTCATCCACCCTGCCTGCCCTACAGAATGTTCTCAGAGGCTGATAAATTGATGGAGGTGAAAACATCTTGCAAACTCAATAGAACGCTTTAGGACTGCCTCTTTCAGACTGAGCATTTTCAGTTTCATTTCATACAACGTGATTGTTCGATTATCTTTTGAGAAACCTCAGCTATGCAGCCTTTCTGACACCTCTCTTTTGGGGGCCTCATCTGTGTAATGGTTGAAAGGATTTGGCCTCACTATAGTTTATAAAGTAGCCAGAGCAGATTGTTTCCTTTGGTCCACATAGTGGGTTTTTGTTGATTTAACTGATTCAGTGTGTAGTTAACTTTTAAAAATAAAAATCCAGGTGTCACCTATCTTATCCCTCTAGGTATTAGAGTTTGCCTTCCCTGGCTAGCAGGTCTGGAAGGAGTCTCTAGCTTTTCAGCACTAGAATCCTAAGTGCTGGGATTACAGGTGAGAGCCTCTCACCCTCTGCAGGCTGGACCCTCAGGGGATCTCTCTCCTAAATGTTGTTTGACACCATTGATGAGTGGCTTAAAATTGTTCCTTTGGCCAATGTGGTGGCTCTCACCTGTAATCCCAGCACTTAGGGAGGCCAAGATGGGTCAGGAGTTTGAGAACAGCCTGGCCAACAGGATGAAACCCCCTCTCTACTAAAGAAATACAAAAATTAGCCAGGCGTGATGGTGGGCACCTGTAGCCCCAGCTACTAAGGAGGCTGAGTCAGGAGAATTAATTGAACCCACACAATGGAAGTTGCAGTGAGCCCAGATTGTGCCACTGTGCTCCAGCCTAGGGGACAGAATGGGACTCAAGAAAAAAAAAATTGTTCCTTTGTTCTTTTTGCATAACAAGCCCCCAGAATTGTTTGTCACTGAGAGCCATATTTACATACAATGAAGAAAGCCAGAAAAGTAACTCAGTTTGCCCAAGGACACACAAGATAATATTAGGACTGCTTTGAGGTTGCAATATAACCAGAACTTGATAGCTCCTGATCAGCCAATAAATACAGAGACAAAAAAAAAAAAAGCCCTCTGCTTTCCAGCCTTTTTTTTGGATGCAGAGGTCTATTACATAACTGTGCTTTCAGTGTTATTTAAAAAAAAAAAAAAAGTGTGTACGGGGAAACTAGTCTGGGAGCAAACCAAGAACACTCAGGACCCACTGAAGGCACTGAGGAATGCTGGAATATTCCATGGCTACTTTTCATCTGAAGAAAAAGGAATCTGAATTCAAGGATCTGCAGTTTAGCAGTTTACCTTTTTTTTTTTTTTTTTTGAAGAGTCTTGATTTGTTGCCCAGGCTGGAGTGCAGTGGCACAATCCCAGCTCACTGCAACCTCTGCCTCCTGAATTCAAGTGATTCTCCTGCCCTAGCCTCCCAAGTAGCTGGGTTTAAAGGTGCCTGCCACTATGCCAGACTAATTTTTGCATTTTTAGTAGAGTCAGGGTTTCACCAGGTTGGCCAGGCTGGTCTCAAATTCCTGACCTCAAGTGATCCACCTGCCTCGGCCTCCCAAAGTTCTGGGATTACAGGTGTGAGCCACTGTGCCCGGCCTGCATCTTACCTTTAAAGTATCACTGTCATCATTATCATCATGCTTTCACGTGTGAAATATTTTGATGTTTCACTCAAAAATAGGTCTTGAGCCCCTTCTATTTGCTTAGTGCTGGGCTCTGGAGACTCCAGACAGATATCAGCCCCTTAGACAACACAAAGAGCAGTGTACAGAGGCACACAGAAGGTTCCTGAACGCTGGTCATTTCTTTAATATTTGATGCCCGCAGCATTTTCTGCATTAATTTTCCCCCCAGCAATGGTCGCTTTCCTACATATTCTGTATGTGCATATTCTAGCTTTTCAACAGTAGAATCCCAGAAGATTCCAGATCGGAAATTTGAGACATGCTTGAACTTAAAAGATATTCCTTGTTTATCTGAAATTCAAAGTCCAATTCACATCTTTTATTTGATCTGAAAATGCTCGTCCTGAGAAGAGAACACTGAGGCCAAGAGCCTCTCACCCTCTGCAGGCTGGACCCACAGGGGATCTCTTTCCTGAATGTTGTTTGACATCGTTGATGAGTGGCTTAAAATTGTTCCTTTGGCCAGTGTGGTGGCTCTCACCTGTAATCCCAGCACTTTGGGAGGCCAAGCTGGGTGGATCATTGAGGTCAGGAGTTTGAGACCATCCTGGCCAACATGGTAAAACCCCTTCTCTACTAAAAAAAGATACAAAAATTAGCCAGGCGTGATGGTGGGCACATGTAGTCCCAGCTACTCAGGAGGCTGAGGCAAGAGAATCAATTGAAACCACACGATGGAGGTTCCATGTATACATATATGGGATTACACACACACCCACACACATACACACACACACACACATATATATATATATATATATGTAACGATGGATGTTACATATATATGGGATTATATCTCTATATGTAATCCCATATATATAAATAATAATCCCATATATATTAAACTATATATATATATAGTTTGCACATCCCCTAAACTGTAACCTCCACATGGACAGGGATTTTATGTTTTTTCCTGCTGCATCCTTAGTGCCTAGAACAGAAGTATGTGTAGAATGATGAATGACACATTCATCATCCCCCTTGATGGACAGAGCCAGCATCAGAAGCCAAGCAGAAGAAGTACCTCCAGAAGCAAACCTCTGTTCTACCCAGAAATCAGAACCAAGATAGAACAAAAATTAAACATGAACCAAACACTCTGAACCCGGCTTTGTTTTTCTTGTGTCCCCTCCAAAAACTGGGTAGCAGAGAGTTAAAAACGGCTCTTTCCTATTTTTCAGTGTAAAAATGGCACAAGAACTCTAGGCAGGGAGTCAGTGGGGTTGCCTCTGTGAGTAAAGAGTCAGAGCTGGCTCTCTGACCCTGCTACACAACTGGCAATGACCAAGTGAGGGGAAGTGTGATTCTCAGTCATCACCCCGATCAGGCAGAGATTAAGTGACCTGCCCAGATTACCAATCAGGTGACTGGAGTCTCCTTCTGGAGATAATTCTTGCATCCCAGGGCCGGGGCACAATCCTCCTTTCAGGAAAGACTGTCCACATTTTATGCTTACCGAGGTGCAAGAGTAGGAGTTCTGAATGAGTCAGCAACCAGCCCAAATTCCAGGCCCTCAAAGGGAAAAACAACAACTGAGCATCCGAGGAGATGCTTGCCTCCAAGACTTGTAGAGGAGCAGAACTGGATCTTTCCTGCCGTAGGATTATCAGACAACAAGGGAGGGAGCTCAACACTAAACATCTGGGTGGGACAGGATATGAAATTGCTGAATGCCACTGGGGTTCTAAAAGTCCCAGCAACCCTATGATCTCTGGGGATCTGGTGAGGTTCCAGCTACATCTACACCTTAGTTAGGTCATGCATTAATTACACTGACCACATGTGGCAGGCCTGGGATACTGGCAAGTCCTGAAAGTGCAGAGCATAGAATGCTTGCTGTCATCCAAACATGTGGACTCTTGCTCCATTGTGGTGTGAAAACTTGAAAAACAAGATTTTCCGAATTCAAGATGATCACCCAGGGCCGCAGTTGGGTTGCTAATTGTAGCACTGAAGTAGGGAGCGTTCTAGAAGGTGAAGGTTCCTTGCAAACAAAGCTGGGAGAGAAGATCTGGGAACAAGTCCATCTTGGGCTTCACAAGCTCCTTGGCCTGTGGGAACTGTCCCTTAGACCGCTTCCCCTCACCTGTCCAACTCTGGCCAAGCCCCTCTTTAGGTCAAAAGCCACGGGTTTCTCTCATCCTTCTTGACATCTGCCAGAAGAGTTTACTTCCATGCATTCAGCAACAAGAACCAATGCCTCAAGCCTTCAGGAGTGCTGAGTGTGTGCCAAGCCCTATGCCCCAAAAGAAGAGAAGCACAGAAGTCACTGCTTCCACCAGGAGAACCTGGATGTCACAGGCACCAGCCCAGGAAAGGAACGTGAGAAGCTGAAGCCCCGGAGTCCATCTGCCCTGACTAGCTGGGTGACCTTGAACGCGTTACCTTATTTCTCTGGCGATAGTTCCCACTTCACAGCCCCATCATTAGTCCTAAATAAAATAATGCAATAAAGGTCTGGCACATATTAGTGGCTCCGTCAATGTCAGCGATTTTATGATTTAGTTTGGCCCAATTCCCAGGCCCACCTGACCAAGGCCATAATACATTCAGAGTCTCTTACGTGGGCAGTGGGTAGGTTCTAGAATTATTCTGACTGCTGTGGTCCTCGTTGATATGAGGGTGATTGGGATGGGATTGTGGTGTGGGATCTCGGGGAATTTGGTGCAATGGGGGAACAGGACCATGTGGATTTGGCGCTAGGGACATAGCAGAGGCCTGACTTGGAAGGGCTCAGGCTGCCGGGCTCAGGGGCGCTTGAATTTGTTTCCCCCCAAATTTAAGACTTTTGAAAAGCACTCGCAATGATTCTAATGTACAGCAGATGTTTGGTTGTGCACCCAACCTCCCCCCGCATTTCTGACCCCAAAAATAAATAAGTATAAATGAATTGACATGGGAAAACTAGAGCAGGGTTGTGATGGTGTCATCATTTTCTATCTTGTCTGGCTCCCTCAGAAACATTTCACTTTGATCTAAATCCTCCAGCTTGCCCCCCATCCCTCCGCCTCCAACCCACCTGCCTTAGACTAACAGCAGGGGCAGCTTTAGAAATAGCATGTCTTCCCTGACCCCCTGGCATGTAAGTACATCTTTGTTCCTGACTGGCATTTAATAACAGGACTTTATGGTGAAACAAAAGCTGTAATCAGACCCCAACAATGGAAGCTGCAGTCAGCACTGAACAATACTCAGAATTCCCATGACAATCCCCCCATCTGCAGCTGTGAGAACCAGAAGTCACAAGCACGAATTCCATTCATAATTATTCGCCCAGTCCCACTGTGACTTATGTGAAGCACGGCTTTCCTGCCTCCTTGGCAGGGCTTTCAAGGGGCTGAGAAGGGATGCCAAGCCTGGGCCCCAGCCAAGAGTAGCCAGTGCAGGTGTACATGCGGGGCTGACTGGTGCAGTGGCACGGTGACAGAGCCAGACTGCTCCCACACTGGAGACTCCAGCAGCCATCTCTGCACCAGCACTTCATGCAAAACTTCCTTCACATAAAAGAAAGCTTTCTAGCTATTTCCTTATCCGAAACTGCAGTCTGCACATTCCAGGATAAGCCCAGTAGCAGACATCTCCTGTACCAAGTCCTGGATCCTTGGGGAAAGAAGGTCTTTAGAGGGACTGCTTTTGTGGGTGTCATGCACATTAGAGGTTATGTATGCACCTATGCAACCACCCTGCATGACCTGCACATGTACCTCAGAACCAAAAGTAAAATTAAAAAAAAAAAAAAGAATCTGCTTGACATTAGAACTATTGGGATTGTGCTTTTTTAAGACCCCACCCCAAATCAATCTGAATCTCTGATCACAAGGAACTGGGATTGCTGTTATTTTTCCTTCTTTCTTTTTGCTTTATTTTGAGGTACAACTTAATTATTATAGTAATGTCTACAACTCTTAAGTATAAAGCACAATAAACTATGTATCCACCATCCAGGGCAGGATACAATTCCAACGCTCCAGAAGGCTTCCTCTAGCTCTAGCAGCCAGAGGTAAGCACTATTCTGATTTCAATCTACATAGAATAGTTCTTTCTGTTCTTGAAATTAATGTAATTGTCATTACACAGTATGTATTATACTCTTTTGGGTCTAACTTCTTTTGTGCAACATGGTGTCTATAAAATTTATCTTTGTCAATGTATTTTGTATTGCTGTGTAATATTCTCTTTTGCACATAAAGCACAATTTACCTCATTTCCAGTTGATGGACATTTGAATTTCTAGTTTTTGGCTATTATGAATAAAGCTGCTATGAATATTTTTATGTAAGTCTTTGGTGGACATTTGTACTCTTTTCTCTTGGATATTGGGTAGAGTTGCTGGGTTACATAGTAAGAGTACATTTAGCTTTATAAGAAACAGCAAAATTCTTTTCCAGATTGGTATACGAATTTTACTTCCATCAGCAGTTAATGAGAGTTCCAGTTGCTCCATTTTCTCACCAGCTCTTGATACTGTCAACCTTTCTATTTTAGCCTTTCTAGTAGATGTGCAACGGAATCCCATTGTGGCAGTGGTAGTTTTAAGAGATCTTCAGATAATCCAAATGCACATCCAGGGCTGAGACCCAAGGATCTTATCTGCCTCAGTTTATAAACAGGAAACAAGATAAAAGGAGAGAGTCAAAGTCAAACTCAGAGCTCCCCACTCCTGGTCCAGGGTTCTTCCCATATACCTTTCCCTGAAGTTTAATATTGGTCTGCCCTCCTGTTAGAGGAAGGACAGATTTGGCCCAGAAACTGAGCATGACTTTAGCATCTTAGCACCACTGAGAGGGAGCAGAAGGAATTGGCAAAGACACTCAGGCCGGCTCCAGGGAGACCATGTAGGTGGTCTGAAGCCCCACAGGCCAAAAGCCAAGAAACTCCAAGCCCGTGTTAGTACCTAAAGAAGCCTTGCAGACAGTAGTCAGCGTCCTGAGGGCAGCATCTGGCAAAGCCAAGCCCCTTATGAGTTCTCATCTTAGTTCTGCCAGCTCCTAATTACCCAAACAGAAGCCTGATCACCACCTTCAACTCCTTCCCATCTTCCTTCCCCATATCCAGTGAGAGACCAAGTCCTGCCAATTCTGACTCCTAAATCCATCAATCCTGTCTGTCTCACTGTTCCTAACCTAGTTCAGCTCCACCCATCTGTGCCTGGACTCCTGATCAGACTCTCTCCAGAACAATCGTTTTCCCATACAAACCTAATAGAGCCATTATCCTGCTTAAAAGCTTTCAGTGGGTCCCAATTGCCTTGGAATAAAATCCAATCTTCTTCCACAACTCTCCCCGGGCCTGTAAGTCTGCAGACACTTCGTTTCAGTCTAACTCAACTGACTAGGGTTCCCCATACCCCAGCTATTCCCAGTTCCCTGCCTTAAAAACAAAAAACAACAACAAAAAAAAACAGCTTTATTAAGATATACTTGTTATGCAATAAACTGGACATATGGAAAGAGTACAATTTGGTAAGATTTGACCTATATATACACCTGTGAAAACATTGCTATAATCAAGACAATGAACAAGGCCAGGTGCAGTGGCTTATGCCCTTAATCCCAGCACTTTGGGGGCCGAGGCAGGTGGATCACCTGAGGTCAGGAGTTCGAGACCAGCCTGGCCAACATAATGAAACCCCATCTCTACTAAAAATACAAAAATTAGCCAGACATGGTGGCATATGCTTGTCATCATCCCAGCTACTTGGGAGGCTGAAGCAGGAGGATCGCTTGAACCCAAGAGGTGGAATTTGCAAAGAGCCAAGATTACGGCACTGCTCTCTCCAACCTAAGTGACAGAGCAAGGCTGTCTCAAAAAAAAAAAACAAAAAAGACAATAAACACATCCGTTACCCCCAGAACTGCCCTCTGCCCCTTTATCATCCCCCCCAACTACCTCTGCCACCCCAGCCACAACCACCTGTCCGCTTTCCGTTACTATAGTTTGCATGTTCTAGAACTCTTTGTAAATGGACTCATACAGTATGTACTCTTTCATGCGTGGCTTCCTTGGCTCAGCCTAAGAATTCTGAGATTCCTCCATGTTGCATGTATCAGTTCATTCTTCTCTGTTGCTGGATAGTACTCCCTCGTGTGGATACACCACAG